CAAACCTATGCATAGTATACCTATCCTAATCTTTATCTACGCCGCTTGGTTGATGCTTGATGCAGATAAACCAATGATGGCTCTTCGTTGTATATCTGTTGCTGAAGGTCTGACTACTTTACCAGAGAATGAGCAAGTATATGACAGTCCTACCTTTAGAGTTTCATCTACATTTATTCCTAGTAGCTTAGCCAGGGTAGGATATCAAAAGGCCTAACACCCTCTTTGGAGTCACACTACAGTAAAACCTCACTTATTCGACTATTTGTGGACCTAGAGGTTGTTGAGTTTGGGGGTTCTCGAGTTATCCAGAACATTGAAATTTTTAATGGGTTTTAATAATTAAATACATAAATACTGAGTAAACTATCTTGAAAGAAATGTTCAATATTCAATAATTAAAACTAATTGTTCTTAAACAATCGCTTTTTTTGCATGCGCTCTGTCAGCTGTTGATTGTCGAGTCACACAGACTATCGAATCGGTGAGGTTTTACTGTACCAAGAAATTGTACTTCAACCTCCGAATTTATATTCTAGACCACTTTGCAAGCCCCAAAAATCCAGAAAGAATTAAATCAACTAATTAACTAGTAATAGCACTTTTATTATTATTTTCAACTTGTTTGGAATTTAGGGGATAGAAGGGCTGGCTGGCATAGCCAACGAATCCTCATCAAAGATTAAAAGTTGGTGTAGCTTGATGCCTTTTAAGCGATTTTCCCATATAGGGAACCCCCCCCCCCCTGCCCATTAGGGGGTTATCTCTTATGTTTGGTATGTAGTGCTAAAACAAACCATTTATTAATTTATAACCTTGTTGCTGGTTATTTGCTCGGTCCATATCACAAATAATAAGAGTAATTTAAAAACTTACTTTAAAGCACTTAAAATATTTATACAGTAGACTCCCTCTTATCCGGACTCCTCAGGACCGAGGCCAGTCCGGATAACTTGTTTTCCGGTTAAACTGACGTCCCCAAAAACTCGTTATGTAACCCAAATATTTGACTTAAATTTAGGAGAGCATTGTATTTAGACACGTGATCACTGGTCTCAAATCTTTCCCACGAGAACAGTCGTTTCAGTACCGCCCACTTCCTGCCGATCTAGTCCGGTTAAACCGATGTGCTGATAAAAATTGTCCGGTTAAAGAGATGTCATTTCCGCCGAGTGTAGTCCGGTTAAAAGGTGTCCGGATAAGAGGGAGTCTACTGTATTTAGAATTTACCATAAATGGTATGATTGTGATAATTAACCATTATTAGGCATGTTTATGCAAACAGAAATCACCTTGGAAAACAATTAAGTTTAAAATTATGATCTTTCAACTATACATTTACCACTTACTAAGCCAATTATTTCTTTTGTATACTTTATTAAACATATTATGTTTAATGCAGCTTATCATTGAAAAAATTCATCTATCTATGAAAATACAAGAATTGATTGGGATTAGCTTCAAGTTTTATGTATGATATTTTCAATTTGATTAAATAATCCTTTATCCAGTGAGAGAGTGTATTTGGTATTGAAGAATTATATAAAAAGAGTTTGAATGATGCTGGACTGTATACCTTGCTGTCCAATAACAATTGTAGGATATCAAAAAGCCTAACACCAGACGGTTCTTTGGAATCACATTACAGTAAAACCTCACTAACTCGACTATTTGTGGACCTAGAGGTTGTTGAGTTTGTTGAATTTAATCGTGCATATTGTAAAGAACATTGAAGCGCCACCTTCATAGAACATTGAAGGGCCTTAACGGTGGTTGTAACTAATCGGTTTAGCGTCCTTCTCGGCAAATCACTTACAAATTACAATCCATTTATTTTTATAATCTGTGACTTAAATCAATTCTACACTCATTATTATTTTAGCATGAAACACCAATAAGGTCAATGTAAACATTGCAGAAAAATAGATCTATTCATTAGTAAAATTGAATCAACCCAAAACGATAACAGTTTAGTATTTGCGAAGAAATATTTTATTGTACTTCAGAAAATGTACAGCTGAACCTTCCTTCTTGGATTTTGCAAGAAACCATTTCCCTTTAATTTGTTTACTTGAATGTTAAATTGCCCACTTTTCTCAATGTATTTATTTTTTGGAAGAGCACATTGAGAGTATTGTGTTAGAATTCTTTTTAGTTTGTATATCTTTATCCTGAAATACCATGTAAATTGAATTTTGTTTGTCGAATCTTGGTAATTCTTAAATAATACTAGAATTTTCATTACTGTAGCTTAGCTAACAAAGCTAGTTAGATTACAGAAAAAGGTAGATAATAATAGTACATTGAACTTAAAATTTAGCCATTGAATCAATTTTTAGAAATCATATTTAGATTGAAGATTTTTTCGTGAAGGTGTACGCTACAAAATCACATTGTAGCACAATAGTTATTAACTTTCATTCTTAACAAGCTTGATAGGGTGATAGAATTTGAGGGATGGAGCAGCAAATATTGTTATGGTCTATCTGAGGGTTGTGGGGATGTTTATTTCTCCCAGCATGCACAGAAAATGTGGTACAGATTACACAGGTAATCGTAACACTAATTGTGACTAATGTTGGGGTTATTAAAACATAATATTACCCTGATATTTCATTATTAGGCTATTTAGAATTTGCTTTTAACATAATTTTGCCACTTTAAAAGAAAAAAAAAAACAGAATGATAGTGAAATGTAAATATGGAAAAAGGACTAAGTTACATTTAATTTTTTTTCAAACTAATTTCCTTAAGATGTAGTGGATTCATCTTAACTAAAAAAATTATGTATTTTTGCCAATGTATGATTACAGTTTTAAATCCAAATGCTAATATTTCCTCTTAAAATGAACATTGGATTTGTCATTAAGGATGTTTGTTGTGGAAAAATTTGCACATTTATTCACTTTGCTGTAATAGCAAAAATATTTTTGGATATGAATGATGAATTGCCTAATAATATACAACGTATCAAAATCTCATAACAATTGTAAAGCACTAATAATGAGCTATTAATAAAGGTTGTTGAAGTCAGAGGTGATTTAGTTATGTTAGTGTGATGCAACTTTTGACTCGTAATACTAATCGCAAATAGATCTCGCTTCTGATATCAATCTGAGGTTTATGACCTGAGTTTGAGACTTTTATAAATTTAATAAACAGTTATTCTTGTCAATTGACTTAAAAGCAGTTTTGACCAGTGCCATAAAACTTATACTAATACATTTTATGATTTTAACCAAAAGTAGACTTTTTATTCAACTAAAATGAAGATTGTTAATGTCATTTGAGTAGTTGTTCAATAGACAATCCCTATCCAGCAAACTGCTAGATAGTCATTATTTAATATCATTAATAAAATTTAATATCGCTTTATTATTTCAATAAAGGTCTTTGTTAATCAATTTTGTTTAGAAATAAATCACGCTTAGTGACATTAAGAAAGTATTCAAGTTTCGTTCAGTGTTGTTAAAACTTAAGATCATCGTGGAATGCAGATTGTAAAATGATAATAAATAAATACCCTCGCAGACTAAGCGAATTTCCAATTACCTGTTTGGATTTTCACTAGGCCTAAAATATTTCCTTAAAATTAGGTCCCGTGTTTAAGTCTTAACATGAGATCTATAGTAATAAATTATTCCCTATAAGGAAAATTCTCTAAAAATCATGTACATTTGAAAAATCTTTTTAGAGCAATATTTATAGGTTTTGACAAATGATCTGTAAGGGTTAGTTTTATGTTGGTTTGAATTGAAGATTTTTAGCTTACAATATAGTTACCATACAATATCACTTTGTAACAAGCAAGATTTTGGATATAGTTTATTAAAAAATAACACATTTTACATAGATCTCACTCATTCTATGTCGCAGCCTACCTCCCAACATCACTGCTGCTGAATCAGTCAGTGTAGTGGCTGGTGAGTATAGGACGGGAGGCTACAGAGTCTATAATTCGCTGGCTTTACATATAAATTACCCTCTTACCTCTAACACTGAGGCAATAGCACCAGCTATCAATTGTACATTAACTTTAATATAATCACAACTTACGATGGTTTGAATCTCTATCTCTACATTATATCATTATACAAACAACTCTAGTTAAATTTCCCGAAAGACCATACTTGTAAATCATAGCCTGGATCTAGAATCATCAGCTTAAATTTTACTTACATAATGATATAGAATTTAAGTTAAATATGTCGGCTCCTGATATTTAAATGTTTAGAATTAATGTGATACTCAAAATCGGTGTTCAAGTGTTTAACCAATAGTGACATAATAAAACGACCTGTTTCCTGCTATTTCCCTGAGTACAGGCTTGCAGTCCATACGAGTAAATATTATGCTAAAGTCTGATGTTTGTATTTCTTGTATTTATTTTGTTGAATGAAGAGTATTTGATTTGATTTTGATGGTGCTAGTTTTTTCTGCTTTTAAACATCTACTGAAATGTCAGTAAATTCGTGGCTATCATTAAGCTCTACTCATAAAGTTTTTAGTGACGTAGCCCAGGAATGAAACCATAAACTCACAAACCAAATAAACCTAAAATTTGACAAGATTACTATGAATAAAGATGAAATACTGAAGGTGGAGGTCTAAAAATAAAATCGCTAATGAGTGCAAATGTTAGCACCATTTTAGACACACTTAGACATAATCTTACCTGTTCCCAGGGCTAAAGGCCTTATACTCAAGCTCTCCTAATGGAGCCCAGTCCCCCGAACACTACATACTACCGCATCATCCAAAACTGACTCCCAGTTCAAATTCACAACGTTTAAACAACAACATAACAAGTTTTTGTTAGACAACAGTTACAACCTATTCACACAACATTTTTCCAAACACTTCTAGGCAGCAATATGAATCTACTCTTACACTACTGACAAAAGCCAAAGTGTAAAATTTTTTTTACACCTTTTTAGCTTTGTATGTAATTATAATATCAATTTATCGATATTATTTTATGATTCCTCTTTGTATTACAGACACCCCACATCATGTTCCTCTATGGCAGAGATCCTGGCAGTGCTGTTCTTCCACACTATGAGGTACAAGCTGTCAGCCCCTCGTGATCCTTCCAGCGATCGCTTCATCCTCTCCAAGGGTCATGCTGCACCTATCCTCTACGCTGGTCAGTACTACTACTAACCAGTATAGTTCAATTATACATTTATTCATTTGTTTTATTACAGTTGACTCTCAATAATCCGACACTTATAAGACTGAAAGTGTGTAAGATTATCAAAAACATTGCCTTGATCATAGTCAACTTATGATTCCTTACATTATCTTTGACTCTAAAGGGTTTTCATTATCTGTTTAAGTTTTATTTTTGAAATGTGTTTTGATCGCAAAAAACAAATAAAATTAAAAGAATTGTATGAAAACAACCCATGAATCATTTGGCGCAGCGTTGGATTACCAAGCGAGTTGAACTACCAAGTGTCCGGTTATCAGGGCCAAACTGTATTCATTTTTAATACAATAGTTAAACCTATTCATAATTTATTTTATATAGTAACAGTTATTATATTAATAAAAGTAAGTTATTTACCTCTGTCTGATGTATATCTTTTATTTTATGTTACAAGACATTTTTATTGCCATTGTCATTTTCAAATGTATTTACCAAATTCAGTATACTGTATACCGTAAATAATATTTCGAAATAAAATAAAATTCACAAAAATGTAACAGTAATATCTGAAAACCTAGTTGATTTGAGTGTAGAAACTCGGTTGATTTATTCTGTGTCAAATTGATTTCCCATTGTAATGGCATTTGAAGGCTTTGCTAAAGGTCATTGTAGTGTCCAATGTCCCTATTGTTGATAAATAGTAGGTATTTAAAATAGTTATCTAGGTTTTGAAACTGTGTTGCTGATTCATTATTATAATTGTTACTATGATTATACATCTGAGGCTGTGAAAGTCTAGCACACATAAATGAGAGCCATTGGTGTAGTTGTCTGTGATTAGTCTAAGGCCTTTGATTGTGTCAGGCGTGACATTCTCTTAGAGAAATTGAGATTGTATGGGATATCTAGTCCATCCTTTTCCTGGTTTTCTAGTTATCTCTCCGAAAGATTTCAGCAGGTTGCCATCAAAGATAACTCCAGTGTCAACAAGTTTCCTAACTGGAGCTTATTAACCCATGGTGTATCACAAGGATCAACAATAGGGCCTCTTCTATTTATCCTCTACATTATTAACCTCCCTTTTTTACTTTCTTCCAAAATCATTCAATTTGCTGAAGGCATAATAATGTTAGTAAAAGCGCCATACATTTTTTCTGCCACTCTTATTGCATCCAAAGATTAAGAATTTATGGTGACTTGGTTTTCACAAAAACAGACTACATCCAAACTGTTCCAAAACTCATCTTTTTTATTTCATAATTCGCAACTGAAAACAGACGAGATTACAAATAACTACTTAACCAGATGATTCCATAAAATCTTCTAAAAGTACCAAATAAGTAGGTATTAACGACAATCTAAGATAGTCTGAATATCAAATTCAAATTATCTCATCTCTGTCGAAAGGGATGTTTGGGCTGAGAGTGATTTTTAAATCTTCAGTCATACATGCAGCTCTTACTTACTCTTACTTACTCTTACTTTATGTCTAGGACTTCCTATGGTATTATGTCATAGAGTGGTCAGTGAAATGAAATGTGTTTATTGTCCTTTGAATTTTTGTAAATTATTGACAATGTCATAAAACAGCTAAAGTTATAGCATAGTCAGTTAATAAATACAATATAGCTAACTAGACAAAATGATACATATTACAATATGTATTTTAAATATTACAATTAAATAATCTTTAAAAAAAAAAAAAAATTGCGGCATTTAGAATAATGGAAGTGATTAAACCCCATAACTAACAAAATCCAACAGAACTTTGGTCGATTTGCTAACTCTACTTAAAAACTAATACCAGGCATTTAAAAAAAATCATTTAGAGAATAGAAGGGTTTGTTCAGAAGCCATCTGTAGAATTTAGTCTTAAAAGTATTTACAGGATGTTTTCGTATTAAATGTTTTAGCTTGACGTATATTTTTAATGAGATTACAATATGGCTTTTAAGAGTTTTAGAGAGTCTGAATAAATCTATACTGTAGTAGCAACGTTTTTATTCCTTGTATTATGAACATGAGAACGTTGTTTGATTAAGTTGGGATTTTTTAGAATATATGATACAGAGTCAAAAAAGTAAATGTTAATCCCTGTTGGAATTTGTAGCTGAATGAACAGGGGTTAACAGTGTTCCTGTAGGGGTTCATAAGATATAATTCTAACCAACTTCTTTTGTAAGACTAAAATTTCCTCTATCCTACTGCATTTGTCGTAAAATATAATATTGTATCTGAAATTGGATTGAAAATAAGCAAAGTAGGCTGTTTAATATAATGTTGATCCATACAATGTATTAGTTTAGTCATAAGACAAATTACCCTTGAAAGCTTAGAACTTATGTAATCAACATGAGGTCCCCAAGAAAGAGTCTTATCCAGATAAATAACAAGAAATTCAACATTGTCTACATAGCCATCCAACATAATTAATTCGCACGATCTAAGGCCAAAAACAATTTTTTGAGTTTATTCTTTATTTATGAAGAAGCCATTAGATTCAAACCAGATAGAGGCTTCATTAATTGAGTTTTGAGCTAACTCTTAAAGTTGTTTAAGATCGGGATTAATATTTAAAAATGTTGTATCATCTGCATACAAATAAGTTTTACTAGTTATACATTCTGGGAGGTCGATAATACAAATTAAAAATAACAGAGGACCTAGAACAGACCCCTGAGGTACGCCATATTTTATTTTTAATTCTTGGAACCATTCTCCATCAATATTGACTTTTTGTGTTCTATTATATTAAAAAAAGAAAGTGGAGTTCCGTTGATACCGTAAAAATCTAATCTTATTAGCTCATCATGGTCCACTCAATCAAAAGCCTTACTCAGGTCACAGAAGGTAGCCTGAGCAAGACTTCATCTCAAAGACCATTAGTAAAACCTCATTAGTAAATTTGTCTATTGTGTCTGATGTACACTTACCCTTTCTAAATCCAAACTGCAAAACACTTAAGAAGTTGTTATTAAAAAAAAAAGAATTCAGCTTATCAAAAACCATGATTTCAAACAATGTTGATATTACTGGAATGATTGATATTGGGCGATAACTCCGGAGAGTCCTTTTTACCTTTTTTAAAAATGGGACAGACTCTGGTGACTGGAAAGACGCCTTCAAGGAGACAGAGATTAAATCAGTAAGATAGAGGTTCAGCTATATTACCAATAATCTGTTTAAGCATGCTATTAAAGACATAAGATAAACATCATTACTGCTAGAGGCGTTAAGTTTTTTTGTGGCTTTTATTAGATCATTAGGCGTGACAAAATCCCAGGAAAAAGCACAGCAGTGATAGAAGACAAGTAAATCTTTTGAACTGTAAGCATTATTAACAATTCTCTTTTTTATTTTTTCAACTGATTTAATAAAAAAGGTATTGAAAATATCAGGAGATATTTTGGCTGTTTTTGAATCGATTAAAGAATTGCTACTGGTTTTAATGACTTTAAAAGCAGTTTTACATTTGTTATTAATTTTTTCTATGATAATTGTGTTATATTTTTTGCAATTTAAAATATTTAAAATTTTCAAAAAAATACTCAAAGACTAGGCCCAAGTTTTTTTCTTACTCCCTAGATGATTTTCTAAACCATGACCATTAGGCATCATGTATTGACATAAAATAATAATTTGCCATATGATATTATTGTTGTTGACATGTTATATATTTTTGTAAATAATCACAATTTTCTAGATTTATGATGGATAAACATTTCATTTCAATTCCTGACAATGATGTTATCACAAGTTCCATTAGTAACACCTGTAGTTTCTCGTACAGTAGACTCAGGATTGGACCCTTGTCTGAGCTAAAGAGAGTCTGAAGCATTGGATATTTTTCAATATAAGATATAATAAACACTTTTAAAACCACAAGTTTAATGTTTAACATTACTAAATCTACAGAATATAATAAACAATAAAAGAACACAGCAATAACCTCAGCATGCACTAGACAGCTGTAGTACAAGTACATTGAACAAGGTGTATTCTTTGTTTACATGGTTACTAACCAAGTGGTGCCAGTGTGTGAGTCTGTAGCAGGTGGTCGCTCCAATTATCTTGAGCCCGAACCAAGCAGATCTGACGACAGGGATATTGCCACAGTATTTTGTATTCCAAGTATTATCATACTATTTAAATCACGTAATACCTACTATCCCAGAAAGGTATTTAGACCCAAAAGGAACACATTATTAACCATTACTCAACATAAACAACTTCTTAAAATTTGCTATTTTAAGAAAACCTTATCTTTCACCCCTGTTGCTTAATGACCTTTGGATTATTGTGTAGTTCTCTTTTACTTTTACTAATTATTACTTGATCTGTTTTTCAGCTTGGGCAGAGGCAGGTTTGTTCCCAGTGAGTGATCTACAGAACCTGCGTAAGATTGACAGTGACCTGGAGGGACATCCCACTCCTCGTCTCAACTTCATTGACGTCGGAACTGGTTCCCTCGGACAGGGAGTCTCTGTAGCCGCTGGCATGGCCTACGTCGGCAAATACTTCGACAAGGCTTCTTACAGGTCAGTTGCTTGGTATTGCTTGTAGCACAAGATTGTTACTGTTGTGTGAATTCAAGATTGGGGGAAAATTTAGGGGAATTAGTCATACATGCAATTGCCCTATTTACTGTAAGCCTATTATAGCTCATTAATGTTTCAAGTTCCTCGATGTCAAATGTATTTATTACATTTTCATACGTTATACTGTGCATTTATTTTGTAAATAACTGCTTTATTTGTACAGTAGACCCCCTCTTAACCAAGGTCGCATTAACCGATAATCAGATTATCCTCCCTCACTTGTAAAATATTACAGTTTGTAAAGGGTGATTTTTTTATGGGTGCGGTTTTTAAAACTAAATAAAAAAATTAAAAACAACTTGCATTGACATAAAAATGTATTTATTTGAACTACAGCGTCATGACATTAACGTTTAAAAATTATTTCTGGCATATGGGCTCCATTCCGTTCGCGTAGAAAGCCCAATCGAGAAGTCCAATTTTCGAATGCTCTTTCCAGCAGCTGTGGTTGAATTCCGCCAATTACTCGACGAATGTTAGCTTCCAAGTCACTTAAAGTTTCAACACTATCGGGCAATGTTACGGGACTTTTTCGTTCCTCAGCTAAACGAACTTGAAGTGGATTTAGAAAATGTTTGGTTCCAGCAAGACGGCGCGACGTGCCACACGGCAAACGACACAATTGGCCTCTTGGCAGAAACATTTGGTGAACGTATCATCTCATTTAGAGGTAGTGTCAACTGGCCCCCACGGTCGTGTGATATCACGCCAACAGACTTCTTTCTGTGGAGATGTGTTAAGTCTCAAGTATACGCTGACAAGCCACAAACTTTAAGTGACTTGGAAGCTAACATTCGTCGAGTTATTGACAGAATTCAACCACAGCTGCTGGAAAGAGTATTCGAAAATTGGACTTCTCGATTGGGCTTTCTACACGAACGGAATGGAGCCCATATGCCAGAAATAATTTTAAAACGTTAATGTCATGACACTGTAGTTCAAATAAATGCATTTTTATGTCAATGCAGGTTGTTTTTCATTTTTTTATTTTTAGTTTTAAAAACCGCACCAATAAAAAAATCACCCTATATTAACCCTTTGGCCGCCGTGGTCCAATACAATGGACCGTGGCGCTATTGCGAAAATTGCCACCTGCTGAATGTTTATTTACTGGCCACCTCTACGTTCAAAAGCCACAAATAACACACCAATCGAATCAGCATCGTCTGGGCTTCATGTAGCAAGAGCTTTGACTGCCTTTGTTTGGGTTTTTTCTCATGTTGGACGAGATTTCCCAAGATGACGTCGTCTGATGTTTGTCAACAGTGATCATATGTTTGTAGATAACTTCTTAAGACTTATAAGTTGTTTTGATGGGTTTTTAGTTACTAAATATGACTAAACATGGTCAAAATATGTCAACAGTGAGTAAAGACACAATATTTCATAACTTGACAGAGATTGGTGTGCAATTAGACGATGGTGAGTTGAGTGATGACTTCATAAATCCTCTAGGCCTATTTTTAGATAATTTTTTTATGCCCATACCCCAAAGGTATGGTATTATTAATATTTTTATAACAAGCTGTGTCATTGTTATGCAAGGGTTATCCAAATGATCGTGAAGAGTGCTGCCTTTCTTAATTTTAAATAAGGATATTTAATTTACTCTCTATTTTGGTGGGATAGGGGTTGGGGTACAGCTACTCCTTGTTAGTTGGATCTTAAGTAGTACCTCTTATCTCAGTCCATCAGATCCAAGTACCTCTTGGCAGATCCAAGTAGCTATAGGAGACCCATAACTTCTCCTTTTTCTTTTGTCCTCATTGTTGTCTTTCATAGGAATTTCAATATTTTCTTAGTTAGAGCCAAACAAAAAATCTGGATTACATAGTTCCAGTTAGTCTAGATTAATGAGGGGTTTCTGTATTAAGAAAAGAGTGAACATATGTTCAATGGATTAAGCTTACTAATATTTAAAAATTAATGTTACTTAAGTTCATCTTGAGTCATGAAACTTGGAACATCACTTGATTCATGCATAAATGTCCTGTTGGTCTACAAGCATTTCACCGTTTCAACTGGAAGATTAGATGTACTCGAAGCTGTAGTTTGTTGTACACAAGACTGTATTTTGTTATTGGCACCGTCATCTGAACAATGCTGTCTTAGGGTTTATACACTACACCAATTAGATGTGCCGAGAACTTGATCAAGAACTTGTAAGAAGTTGAAATGATGGTAATGTTTGCAGAACATACGTGTTGGTCGGTGACGGTGAGAGTGCGGAAGGATCAGTGTGGGAAGCCCTTCACTTTGCCAGCCACTACAACTTGACCAACCTCTGTGTTATCTTCGACGTGAACCGTCTCGGTCAGTCAGACCCCACCTCTCTGCAGCACGACATGGAGACCTACCGCAAGAGGCTTGACTCCTTCGGGTTCAACCCTATCGTCATCGATGGTCATGATGTTGAGGAACTTGCCAAGGTATATTTTAGTAGAGCTGTTGCTATTTTTTGATAACTAAACAAAAAACTTCTATTCAACAACTGTCCTAGCATTGTGATTATTTGTATTTCTTGTTTGCACATGTTTGGACATAATTGAACCTGATGATAATCAATGGGACTGTTTGTACTATTAAAAGAAGAGAATTCCTTGCACCGATGATATAAACCCAGTAACTACTTGTTGATATGGATTTTGAAATAGCTTGCAGGCCAAACAATCGATGACTTCAGTCACAAGCAAAAGCAACGTTTTTTAATACATGTGTCTCTTTAAAAAATAACCGTTCTTAATAGCAATCCTTAAATTTTCCAATGTATTGATCAATAAATTGAAACATTGTTATATTTTTAGAAACTGCTAGGGGGAGTAACATGTTAACAGCACAAAAATTTTCCTAGGTTAGATTCTAATTAAAATGATTTTAAAAAGATATGTACAGTATAGTCTTGATTATCCAATCTAAACCGACCGCAGAGAGGTCAGATAAGCGAAAAGATCAGATCACACAAACAAAACCCACTATAAAATGTAGAAAATCATTAAATTATTCAGGGTTTCATTTTTCAACCTATTCAAGGCTTTGAATTTGTCTTTCATTGAACACTAACATTTTCAGTGTTGAAGCCATAATCACAAAGTATATAAAAATAACTTACAACGTTAAAATATGAGACAAAGCAATACTTCATGTCCATTAAGCTACAGGTTTCTGTTCACACTGTCAATTGCAGGGGCACAGATAGGAACGACAAAAGTGGTTGTCTCAAATCCCTGTATGATATGGTGCACGGGCATACCATTTGGAAACGGTATGCAATTTCACTCAGATAATCTGTAGCCCCCTCCCCTCCGGTCGGATAACATGACGGGTCAGATAACCAAAAATCTGATAGTCAAGACTACTTGATCGAAAAAATGTTCATTGAAATATTAATTAGGCCTACCACTGGTCTTAAAACAAGCAACTCTTATTTGTTTGAAGTTGATTGGAGTTAATTTTAACTTTTAGCCATCGTTGTGATTGTATAATGATTGTTTTAGGCTTTCCATGAGGCAGCTGAAACAAAGAGCCGGCCCACTGCCATCATCTGCAAGACTTTGAAGGGCAAATACTTCCCTGAGATTGAGGATATTGTTACTTGGCATGGACAAGCCTTGGGAGCTAAGGCCGACGGTGTCATCAAGGTAACACATACACGTCACAATAACTTTATTGGTGCTTAAGCCAAAGTAGTTTATTCCTTAATGTATAATACTGTCCAATCGCCTATAATTTAGTTACAAGGCACCCACACAACTGTAAAACCTTAAACCCATGAATAAGCCGTAAACTTTGCAGTTAAACCTTACAGTTTGATTCTGATAAATTATTCCCCAAAACTTTATTGTGACTTTGGATTTGGTATTGAATCCAAAGTCACAAAATGATGTTCTAGCCTTTCCCATAATTTCTGTAACATCATAATCATATACTGTCTTTGTGTTAACATCGTGGTAATCTCCTGTGATTGCGGCAAAATCGTTAACTTCCAGGTGCGTAAACTAGTTTGGGGCTACCTTCATAAACTAGTTTGACAAGTCTGATCCTGAAAACCCCTCCCACTGAGGTTGTAGGGTTTGAGGTAGGAGATTTTGTTCCTGGTGAATTAAGCTGAGACTAAAAAACCAAGGAGCGGAGAGGTTAGTTTGTGTTAAAAATAGGTTAGTACCATAAAAGTAATATGTTGTTTTTGGCCTCTGGAACAAAAAAGAAAATCGGTCCTGGTTCTAATCTTAACCCATTGGCACCGACTTACGAGCGTTACTCGTCTGGCCACCGCAGGCCCAAAATCCGACCTAAAAGCTTGTTTTTTTAATTTTATATCTTGCTTCTTGTTTTGTGTATTTTTAATAACTTATTTTTGGGGTTGTGTTTCCACGGAAACCAAATATCACCCAAAATCAGCTGTGGTAAGGTAAAACAAACATTTTTTTTCTATGTTATTACTTATAAAAAGTAAACAACTGTTTATTTTGTTATGCAGGGAATCAATTTAAATTTATGATAATATTTTCATTCGGTGTCTGGATTAATCTGGGAATTTGTAAATTAAGTTTAATTTTAAACAATTATTTTTAACATTTTTATTTTTTATATTTTTTTGTTTTTATTTTTAACATGTTACACTTTGATTATCTAATTACATTTTTTTTGTGGCCAATTTTATTCTGAACAAAATGGCAAAAGAATTATTAAATTATTACCAATATTTTTATTTCTATAACAACTCGAGTGAAAGTCTACAAATTCGGTAAAATTAATTGCTGACCGAGGGCACTGCAGGCAGCACATTAATTCCTTTCCCAATGGGTTAACATGAGACATAACGGTAATAAATAGTTTATTCCCTATATAGGAAATTTGCTAACAGCTATTTTGTCTGCACTACAACATAATTTCTGTTTTAGCACTTGGAAGGCATGATGAAGAACAAGGGCCCAATCAGCCTGGGACCCCAGAAGGTGATTGAGGACGCTCCAAAGGTAGACATCTCCAACATCCGTCTCTCCTCCCCACCCAACTACAAGCTAGGAGAAGCTGTAGCTACTCGGCTGGCATACGGAACTGCGCTACAGAAGGTGGCTCAAAGCAATTCCCGAGTTATTGCTTTTGATGGTGACACCAAGAACTCAACCTTCTCCTGCAAGATCAAGGAGGTAATATTCAGAGAAATACATCTTGTTCCATCAGGGATTGGTGTTGTCTCCAATGTTTCAATCAGTGTTCTCAGTGTTGATCTTTGTAAGACAACCTGAACAAAAATATAAGTATACTTGTAGGAATTTTTTATCAATAAAAAAAAATTCCTAAAGTATTTTTTTCACTTAGCAGGATAAATATTAACAGCCCTGCTAAATCACATAATAAAAGGTTTGCCTATAGTTATTTTAATTGTTGTGCTAATATTATTAGTTATGTGTGGGTACTGAACTTTATCAATAGGCCTACCGATACTGATACCTAAAAAATCGACTCTCAATTCTCGATACTGATACTATTTACAAACATTTTCAATATAGCTTGTTTATATGACACACAACTTCTGTCTTTATGTCCTTACACAAAGCAAAAAAATAAATAAATAAATAAAAAATAACATCTTATAAAATGGGAAATAAATATCATACCAACAAATTCTTTTCAAAGAAAATTTCATTTTAACTAGAGGTGTGCCAGCCTGAGATTTTAATCAAGCTGAGCTCAAGGTAATATCAAGATCATTTCTCATAGTTGTAGAGACATCTTCATCGTCGTCCCTGGCAAAATCCTGAATATCACTCAGCGGCAATGGAAACATCATCATCGTCTCCCGCAATGGTGACAAATCATTGAATATCTCCCGCAGTCACTGAATCATCATCATCTTCCACGGTCGCGGCCAAATCCTGAATATCCTTCTCTTTAACAGAAACATCACACTTGTCCCTCGTGATAGCGATAAAATCCTGAATTTTTCCATCGATCATGGAAACATCATCACCGTCCGGCGTCCCCCACGATCGCAGCAAAACCCTGGTTATCACCCGCTGTCAAGGACTATTGTCATCGTCAGCTGTTTAAATTATCGTCATCCCTCTTCCTACAATTATTTTCTATTTTAACAATTTTATTGTTTTCCAGGTGGCCAATGACAGATATGTTGAATGCTACATTGCTGAACAGAATCTGGTTGGAGTTGCCATTGGTGCTGCCTGCCGTGACCGTGCTGTTGCCTTTGCTTCAACCTTCGCCACATTCTTCACCAGGGCCTTCGATCAGGTACAAACATCATCAATAGCACATTACTATAAAAAGAATCATTTAATTTTCCATTAACATGTATGTACAATGACCTTTACCGCAAGAAAATCTTAGATTGATGAATAGAAAAGATTGTTTAGCTGTTAGGAATTTTGGTTTCCCTTTGTAACCATTTAGGGTGCAAGTTTGGCAGGTTAGAATTAACAATTAAATAATCCACAAAGAAACATATCAGATCCACCCCTTACAAAGTAGTCAATCGGAGGATTTGAAAAAAAAAACAGTGAGTTTGATATGTTTAAACATTTTTGGGGGTTTATTTTAAATTATTTGTGATTCAGAATTGTCTTCTTAAGCTCTTTCATATTCTAAATAAATGTCTTTTAATAATAGAATTGTTCCTTTTTATAACTAACTACTAAGGTTCTCATTACAAAACGTTTGAAAAGGATTTTTTTTAACCGTTTGGCATTCTAGTATCATAAAAGAGGTTTACAGTGAAAATCAGAGAGTTCAGTATGAAGAAGCAGCCAGATTTCATAGCTTTATAACTACTTTAAATAGGTAAAGCTTGTATCGTAGTTCAGTCCTGGAGGTTATGTTTCTACCTATTTGTAAAAGCTGTGAATTGGTGGTTCTGAGCCCATTATAAGCTGCAGATCCACATATTCAGTAAAAAAATGTGTTTCTTAACTGAAGAGTCATTATATGATGTTAATGAATCGTAAATGTATATATATTTATACCATATATTTTTTTATATAATAATGAAGTTCTTTTATATTTGATCCATTAAGAGTCATTCATTAATACAATTGTTATATATATATCAATATCAAATCAGTATTAAACATATAGTTCTTTAAACTTTTGTAGCCATTCCAATAACAATACTTAAATACCTTGTGGTAATAAGTAATGTCAATATGTTTAAAAAGAAATTAATGGTGTATATAATAAAACAATTGTACTACTCTTTCAATGTACATTTTTTATAACTATTTCTAGATATTAAGTTATTGACACTATTTTGTAATTATCTATGTTATAATAAATCATGAATAAAGCATTTCTGATTCTGATACCTAGTGTAGATTAAAAGTACTCCTCCGCAACAAATCATTTTTCTAATTATTTTGAACACGTTTATTAGGGGCTTAGGCCCTTACTTTAATCACTTCTTTACAAAACTCATCAAAGTCAATACTACAATAATTACATTTAAAACGATTGTTGAAATTTCTGTTTGATTATTCTGTGTCCAGATTCGTATGGGAGCCATTTCTCAGACCAACGTCAACTTTGTGGGTTCCCACTGTGGAGTCAGTATTGGAGAGGATGGACCTAGCCAGATGGCTCTAGAGGACTTGGCTCTATTCCGATCCATTCCTGGTTTGTTGAAAACATTTGAAAAAATATCAATATCATAAAAATATTCTTGAGAATATGGTATCGAGAGAAACCAATCAATCATATTGGTATTTCTGGAAGAAGGCTTAACGTTGGGATTAATAATCCAAATTTGGAAAGATGAGCAGGTTTACTTTTATTTTGGATGAACCTAATGTCATACAAAAGCGTAAAAAGACGAAAAAGTATCACAATAATGATTAAAAAGTGTTGTATCCACTGACCATTTAATCAATCGCTTACAGAGAATAGTTACTTGTGATTGTACGAAGTGGTCAACGACTAATAAGTTGATAAGCTCTTTCTCCTGAACTCTTCTAATAATTCAGAGAGGATTTCGTAGAACTACAAGTTTCATTCTATAAAACTTTTCATTTTCTTTTATCACTGCACTGATAATCTGGTATTTAATTATCTACAGTAGCTTTGAAGGACTACTTTTGTGTTATGTGTTTAAATCTCAGATCCATGGGTATTAATACATTGTGCATTTGATGGTGATTTGTTAAAATTCAGTCTATAGGCCCATCTGGAATTTTAACTTCTTAATCATTAAATAACTTCTTGATCAGCATTGTACGTGTTATTAAATTTACGGAAAGTAAATAAAAGAAACGTCTTATAACACTTAAAACATATATTTACGCTTATACTGTTACTCACAAGACGGTAAATATACAAAACAGATGGTAAGTGGTGATCGATTTCGATTGGACACTCCAATCATCATCAGACCCAATAGGCGAATGTACATTCGTCTTCTTAATCATATCTGGAGTCTTATTTTATTTAGACTTTTTAATTATTGATTTGTCTGTTGTTTTGTTGTTTATGTACTTTATTAACCATGTTAGACTTAGAATTTTGTGATCCAACTTAACTTTGTACAACTCAGTCATCAAACTTAATTATTTTTGGTATGCCTACTGTCATGTAAAATGTCTTATCACAATAAATAATTTGATAGATTAACATATTGGTATACTTCCTTGATGGGTGACTCTGCCATTTGCATGTATCACTAATAGGAATGGAAGGGTTTTATACTTAAATGTGCCTCTTTTTTCAGGATCAACAGTGTTCTACCCGTCTGACGCTGTGTCCACGGAGCGAGCTGTAGAACTAGCTGCCAACACTAAGGGAGTGTGTTTCATCCGGACATCTCGCCCGGCTACTGCCATCATCTACAAGAATGACGAAGTCTTCAAGGTAAACAAACCATTACTGTAGTAATCATGTCTCCTTTTAACTGTATCCAATTATTATTTTCTTTGTGTTTTTTTAGTTTTTTATTTACTCTTGATTATTTATTGTAGAAATATTTTCCAAAACAATAATCAAGAAGGTCACATGAATTCCACGATGGCCACAAAATGCATCGCATAATAATAAAGAGTAAAGAGTGAAAATTATATATCTTTCTAGTTTTGATACTGTCATATCTGTTATTATCTTTATAGCCTTTTTTAACTCAGCTAAGATTTCCTTTTAAAGCGGATGGAAAACAAATTAAATCAAGCCGTTAAATTGTTACATTTTTTCTATGACCTTACAAATTGCATTACTTCATTAGAACCAACGATCACAAAAGACCATTAGATGGAGCATGCCTACCTATCTAACCAACATTTTAGCAGCTAGCAGCTGATGCACGGTCTGGCCTCTCGTTGTAGGATAGAAGCGCTAGATGTCAATGAAAATTGCGCAAAAACTTAATGTTCCGCTTCCAAATAACTCAGCATCTAGCCTACTAAAGGTATATGGTTAAAATTTTGTATAAGTGAAGTAGTGAAGTTAATAAGCCTTGGACACTGCGTTAGTTCTAATTAAAAGCTGAAAAACTAATATTTTCTTGTTCTAAACTAACTTTTTCTAAGAAACGGTAAACTCTAGAAAAAAATTAAAAGGTTGTTTGAAGGTCATTGTGTTAGTAATGGAAATATTTATAATGCCCAGGCGTATTGTCACGGATATTATTGATATCAACTAACATTTAATTAGTTGCGTTTGCTACTAAGGCTCATAACAGCCGGCAACCACTATCTTGTTGAAGATTAGTGAAAAATCCTTGCTTCACGTCGCGGCCAACGTGCTCCATCTATTGCTCTTATGTGATCGTTGATTAGAACCAACATTTCTTATGATAGTCTGGTTTTCACAGATCTTTAACGAAAATACTTTAACAAACCTTTCATCAAAAACTGTGTACTTGTATACTACCTGTAATATATAAGTAATCCTACAATTAACTTTTATGTGTTATATATAGCTTGGCCTAGCCAAGGTGGTAAAGCAGTCAGCCAAGGACCAAGTTCTGCTGATTGGTGCTGGAGTTACGCTCTATGAGGCTTTGGAAGCAGCTGATATTTTGGCCGGAGAAGGCATAAACGCCAGAGTCATCGACCCCTTCACAATCAAGCCCATCGATGCTGCCACCATCATCGCCAATGCCAAGCAGTGCGGTGGACGAATTGTCACTGTTGAGGACCATTACCCAGAAGGTAGATAAGATAACTGTTGCATGCCACATTCCGTACAGTCTTGATTATTTTACCTATAGTGTTGGTAGGCCTATAGAGATCTAACAAGCAAAACCAGGATCTAACATACAAGGGTATACAAGGGCCTAGGTTTATGGGTTTTGTTTTGTGTTTAGTCTAAAGTTTTGTATTTCTTGCGCAAAATTGGACCCTTCCCATTCAAGTAACCCTGCTATCCTCACAAAAAGTTCTTAAAAGATAAGCAAAAATGTTGCATAAATCAGAAAATAAACTATTGTAAAAGTTTTTAAATAAAAAATTACATTGGAAAATTGAAAACTTAAAAAAATACATGTTTATTAAGTATGTAAACATTACGTAATAAGTTATTAAACCTAAAAACAATTTTTCTTCTTTAAACTCATCATCAAAAAATTAAAAGAATAAACAACAAGTTAAGTCAAATCAACAAGTAAGGAGAAATTTAATGAAACTAGTAAAAAACGAGATAAAACAAAACATGTCCATTACAGCTACAGTTGTAGCACACAGTTGTAGCTACAGTTGTAGTTGTAGTAGAGAATTATGCGGTTAGTTATGAGAAGTTTGGACTGTATGGTATTTTAAATCTACTGTTGTATGCAGCATGCAACAAAGGAAAGTACAGTCAAGTGCAGGAACCTAAAACATGGCACATATCTTCAGAGTACAGTCTATGGCAATGAAAGGGGTTGTCTTGACTCACCTACTAGGTGTATTGTCATGTCACACAGAAATAGCACACAATTTCACACTACTCTATCGTCCACAGGGACAGCGGATAATAAGGAAGGTCAAATAATCAAGTCTACTGTAGTAATATTTATATTAAATTTCAATACTTATTGTGGGAGAACACAAGTCACGGATTACTAATTTTAAGTTCCAAGTCCAATATCCAGTGAATTTTCTTATCAGAAGTTCGTGATGTAAAATGTTTATAATGATGTTTGACTTACTGTGGTGGCCACTGGTAACCAATTTGCTCGGCAGTTTAATCAATATATAACTGAACCATTATGTTCAGCCATTTTCATCATCTTCAATAATAAAATGCCACCTTTCTCCCATCCTTTTGATCCCATAATATTGTTTCGGGTCTCCTAGTATGTATTCTACCTTCTGGACTTCAAAGTCCTCCAGTTATACCCAAATATTCATATACCTACTAGATTTCTTTGTTACACTTGATCCTCCAAATTCCATCTGAGTTGTGTGTCAAATCAAGTGTGTACCAAATTCTCCCTCGATTATATTGAACAATTTAATCTCACATTTATTAAAAATAATTTAGTATTTCTCACAACAATTTTGATTACTAGTATTGTCTCAAAGACAACTTTTCAAACAAAAATTTGTTAAATCCTTGAACAATTGTGTAATATCTTTTTGCTAATTTATCTCAGGACATAATTTGCTGATTTGAGCACAGCAATTTGCTATGCAATAGTTTAACAAATTGTTAAAACAACAGGTGGTCTCGGTGAGGCTGTAATATCTGCAGTTGCTGGGGAGAGAGATATCATCGTTAAGAAGCTTGCAGTTCCCACCGTGCCTCGCTCTGGACCTCCCAAGGTACTTCTTGAGATGTTCGGCATCAGTGCCAAGAACATTGTGGCCGCTGTTAAGGAAATCATCCACAAGTAAACCCAGAAATCATCATAAAATCATATTTCAAAACAACACATTCCTTCATCAAGAACTGATGTATAAAAGGCATAGCGTTTAAGTTTTATAAGTCTATTTCCATTTTGTTACTGAATCTGTTCTTTACCTAAAATATTTGTTTAAGTGGGTTTAAATAAAGTTATGGAGTATTGTTCTTATTTAATTGTTTTTTATTCATTCCTTTTTTATGTGGATAACTGTTTAAGGAATATAAGGATAATGTGGTGGATAGATGATCAGCAGGCTTCCCTTACTGATAAGAACAGTACAAATTATATATGACTCATGAAACATAAAACTACAATAGAACCCCGGCCAACTAAATCAGACCACGTCAGGACCGTGCCCCTGGCTGGATAACGATTTGTCCGGATAAACCAACCTATTGATAATTTATGATAGGTACACAAAAAATGAAAGTAGGGTTTAAATCTCTCGTGGAAAAACTTTAATTCAAATACACCTTTTAGTAAAACAAACAGAAATTGTGAGTTAAAGTGGTTAAGTAATGAACATGAAAATATGATGATTTTAGGTAACATAAACCAATAATAAATTATGATTGAGGTAAAAATGACTCAAAATGAATTACACTTGAAAATCATTGACTTTGAAATATTACCTAACTAATTTTCTGCTGATCTTTCTTATACATTTTTATTATTTTTTTTCAAAATAAAACAATTATTGTACTGTACTGTAATAACCACAGTGAAAATAATCAACTGTTCAGAGATTAACAACTGTGGTGTAGGTAATCTTGTGATATGGTTTTAAACTATTCTGGTTGTCAGTATTACTTTGGATTACTGGAAATGTGTGATGGGGGGGGCCCAGAGAATTGGACCTTTTACCCAGACCAGGAAGACAGCCCAAGCCAGCTTTGATTACACTTATTTAACTAACACACTTAAATACCGTACCCTAATTTTGATTGACACCTTCCAAACTAATATATAAATATATATAAGAAAAACCTGATTGAAGCAAGAATTGGTTGAATTGTAACTGGTAGATGAACTAAGCAACCCCTCTTACCGGCAATTTAATCTCTTGGAACATGTGGCTTCGAAACATGAAAAGGATTGTTTGATTCCGTTAGGCGGAATCAAACTTGATAGTTATTTACTACATTTTCCAGCGTACTTGCGAAGCCAGTGGCTTCCCCCCCTGAGATTTACTTCTAGCCTAACATATTTTTATATTTTACTTAAAACTAATAAGTTAACTTAGCTTGATTATTGTTCATTCTGTACGAAGTTTGAAGACTCGAAGTTTGTCAAATCACGGCAGCGGGCAGACAGGGGCGAGAGAAGAGGCGAGCCGGCTGAGCTTAGAAAAAATTGGTCCAAGAAAAAAAGACCGGTTGAACGGCATGCTAGCGCCTTACGCCATGAAGCTGTGGCGCTTGCGTCACAACCACCCCCCTCGCGCAAATTTTTTTTTTTTTTTTTTTTTTTTTTTTAGCTGTGGCGCTTGCGTCACACAACTAGTCTACTAGCTGAACTGAGTAGCTGAACACATTTAAATATAACAAACAGATATACATTGTGAGAACGCTCAAGTTGCATAGACAAGTGTTTGCAACTACGCGGCTGTAAGCCATGACAAAAACATTTTTGCATTTGCCTCCTAGAAGTGACCGCATAAACCGAGGCCATCAGGGATTCTACTGTACTAGCTCGTCTTCAGTTGAATTGTGTGCCGAGGAATAGCTAGTAGGTCCTAAAATAGATTTGAATTTAAATTAATGGTTTTCAATTGTTATTCGTATAGTTATTGTTTATAATTGTTTGTTGTTTATTCTCAAAATTTACTAAAAAAAAACAATAGTATGAGTATTATTCCATGATAAATTACTTATATTTAGTTTAAGTTACTGGTTTGGATTAAATATAAGTGAGTATAGAGAAACATCTTTATTGGGATGGGATGCTGATGCAATAATTATTGCTTAACCAACAATCCGTGCTAGAAAAAAAGCATAAATTGTTCTCAATACTATAGACAAAACACAAATATAATAACCTTAAGCCCCTACACAATACACATCTACAGTACACATTGCAGGAATACTGGGAGGTAGGGAGAAAATGTTGGCTGAGCAGGTGGAAGCAGCACTATAACATAAACTAGGGTAGAAACATCACAATATGGCCAGATCTGAAGTCTTGGTATTCAGCAAAAGACTTAATTAACGCAGACTGAATTATTTTACAAGATGACACTAAACAAAATTTTAATATATAAATCATAAAAGTGTATTGGAGGAAATCTGCATCAAGTCAACTGAAATCACAGTTTTGCTGACAGCTAATATGACAGTTTTAGTAAAGGGAAATCTCCCCTTAATTCTGGTGAATAGCAATTCCAAAAACCCATGTTCCTTAAAACATTGTTCTGTCTGTCAACTACAAAACAAACACGAGTGCTTGGGTTGGCTTTCAAAATGTTTGAGGAACATGAAGGAAATGAAGAATTTAATATTGAATAGAGGTGGGTAGTCCCTAAGAAATTCCATACAAAAATGTGCTGAGGAAGTTTGTGGGAAGAAAAAGCGCAGCAAACAGAAACCTTGGTTTGATGAAGATTGTAAATCAGTGGTAAATGAAGGCAAACAAGCTAGAGACACCTGGCTGAAACATGTAAGTGATATTGACAGGAGGAACTATGATACAAAAGGAAAAGTATTTGATAGTTGAATTTTTAACTCCTTTTCTATATCCTTTTCTTTGAGCTTCTCAACTGCAATATTTTCAGGATTTCCTTGGTCCTTCTTTTTTTCTATACAAATCCTTTGTTTCTTCTTCACTAAAACCAATCAGTGATCTTATCCACATTCAGCCCCTCTTATGTACATTTGTAATGTGAATGTGACTAAGATGTCTTCTGTCAACTAGCACATGGTCTATTTTGTTTTACGTGTGACCACCAGCTGATATCCATGTTGCCTTGTAGATGTCTTTCCTTGGGAAAAGAGTGCTCACGATCTTCATGCCACCACTAACTGCCTGACTCAACAATCTTATTCCATTATTGTTGCTTTCTTCATGGAGGCTATTCTCTCCCGCTGTACTTTTCCATATTGATTCTTGTCCAATCTTTCCATTGGCATCACCTAACAATAAAGAAAGAACAATAATATTTTAGTGAAATTATTGCATCTGGCAATTAAAGTTTTGGCTAATTTAGGGTTGCAATTTGTAGTTCTAATCATTTGGACTGATTTCAAATGTCCACCAACTAGGCAAATCTGTATTTACTATTTAGATGACTCGAACACTACATGATAAGGCCTACTGTTGATTTTCCCCTAATTGAGAAAAAAGGCATGTTAGAGGCATGCACTTTACTCGTATATAAACACGGGAACCAGGCAACCTGTAGACCGAAAATAGTATACGTGAGTTTGGTTGCACAGGAAAAAGACAGTGAATTAAACTTGGATCTGGTAGTATTATGTCAGCTGAGAGTTCAATCAACATCCTATGGCCGAGCCAATATTCATTGACAGGGTTCCATTGGTTCTCTTTAAATGTCAAAAGGAAATCGCGAACAGTGGTGACAAGTGTTGCCGCCATCACGCAAGACGAATACGATATCGCCAAGACCAATTGATATGACGACAAATGTTACCGCGATCAAGGTATCGCAAAAACCACCAGAACAGGAACACAGGTGTTCATGTGATTGCAGGAGGAGATCCTCGGGGTTTATTATAAAAACAATTTATTTCGCTTAGCCTATGCTGGCTTTCTGCGGGTCGGAAAACATCTGCTCGCAGGCTGAAAGTTGGAGACCCCTGCTGTATAGCATCGTTTCTTCTTTCAACACACTAGCTACTTCATTAAACTTAAAAATAAGCTTCTCTCTTTATAACAATCATTCTGTACAAAGAACAAAACAGCTGGTCCCTTGTTTTTCTCATTTTAAAGAGATTCTACCATAGTAATAATGTTTAATGGTATTACTGAGGTCTCATGCTACAATCATAACCTAATCAAAATGTCAAATACCTCTACTGCAGCAAACCTGCAGCCTAAGCGAATGTCCATTTGCCTGATTTTATTTTCAATTAAATTTATTTCAATAATATTAGGTTTAACGAGTACCTAGATTTGCTGCTACAGGGAGGGCAATAAAGAGTGCTTTTTGGTAAAATATTAATTGCTTAGTACAAAATAAATAAATTTGCCAAGTTTTATCAAAATATATCCATAAACAAGCAAACTACAACAGTTTACTTATTCTCCACAAGAATAACACAGGAATTTTAAATTTACAGTTTATTTTTTATTTTCTCCGTAACCAATGACCGTCAAAAAACACATCACTAACCTAAATTTTAGCTTTTTAAGCTCTTTAAAATGGATTAAAGAGATTTTAGAAATTTTTTGTTTTAAGGGTCAAGTATGAGAAAAACCAAATTTTACCCCATAAAACCCCGTTCCCATGTTTCAATCACGCTCGTTTGCGAACTCATTGGATTAAACGTAGGTTTACACATTTTTACCAAATGTCATTCTAATCGGATCATTTTTGCTTTAGTTAGTGTATTAACGGTCACATATGTACGAATGGTGTTTTTGACCTCTGGGAACATCAAAATAAAAAGTAAATTGGTCACGGGTCCAGTACCAGGTTTTACCATGAGACCTACTGTAATAGCTTATTCCCTCTATGGGAAATTCGCTAAAAGGTACCAGATTCAAAGTTTTGTAACAAGTTGTAAAACCACCAATAACCTCAAGGCTACCTAATAGCTTCCTAAAGCTACGCGCACACTAGGGCGGCACGGCACGGATGGGAGGCCGGCATGGCAATTTTTAAAAGTTAATAACATTAAATGTAATATGAGTGCGCCCACTACGGCGGGACGGCCGGCAACCGACGTTCGGCTGCTTCCGCTGTTTGTTAAAAAGTCCGGGAGACAGAACTCTAGGACATTTTCGAGCTGCCGTACCGCCCGTACCGACCGGGAGCACTGCACAAAGACCGGGCGGGCGGCATGGGATTTCCGCCATTCTCAACTGGTCTCTATTAAAGCCGCAGTGTGTTCGTGTGTTCTTAAGAAGGTATTCAAACTTCTCGTGACTCATTTGGAAGTATTGACAAAATTTCACATCATCCTCAACAAGATCAGGGAACAAGGTGTTCC